ACTATATATATATATATATATATATATATATATATATATATACAACTGGAACTTATTTGGAGTGCTATAATGGTGATCTTGAGAGGGCTTCCTTTGCTATTGTTGGCAATTTCTAGATAATTATCTTTCGATTTTTATGTTACCTTTTTCCCCTTTCTTTTTTTTCAAGGTTTAGCTTTTCCCGTTTTTTTTTTTGCAAAATTGTAGCACTCCGAAATCTTGAGCTATCTCAACGATAAATTAACATATATGGCATCAGAAGGAATGAAGTTTCCCACAAAACCCTATCCAGATCAGAAGCCTGGAACGTCGGGGCTGCGTAAGAAGGTTGTGGTTTTTGAGCAAGAGAACTATACCTCCAACTTTGTGCAAAGTACCTTCAATGCCTTGCGTCGCTTAGGTAGCTTCCCAGAGGTTCTCGTCGTTGGTGGTGATGGTCGTTATTACATGAAAGAGGCAATCCAAGTTATTTTGAAACTTGCCATGGCCAATGGCGTGAAGTTAGTGTGGGTTGGTCATAACGGTCTACTTTCGACACCGGCAGTTTCAGCTGTGATACGACGACGTGAAGGAGGATTTAAAGCACAAGGGGCCTTCATTCTCACTGCAAGCCACAACCCTGGTGGGCCTGATGCGGACTTCGGAATTAAATATAACATAGAGAACGGTGGACCCGCTCCGGCGAAGGTAACTGACGCGATTTACGAAGAAACTCTCAAAATCGATACACTGCACATGAACATGTCACTTCCTGAGGTGGACATCAGCTGTTTAGGCATACAAAATTTTGGTGATTTCACCGTCGAAGTGATCAACTCTTTGGAGGACTACGTGAGTTATATGCAGGAAATTTTTGACTTTAACGCCATTCGGCAGTTGCTTAGCCGTCCTGATTTCAAGATCCACCTTGACTGTCTTCATGGTGCAAGCGGACCGTACGTGGAGCACATCTTCCATAATTGTCTCGATGTTCCTTTATCCGCGTTGCACAACACAAACCCACTGCCTGACTTCGGTGGCTTCCACCCTGACCCCAATCTTACGTACGCGCACAACCTTGTGCATGTAATGGGTCTGCTGTCGGATGGCTCCATCAATAAGAGTATGGTTGGAGAACAGGTACCAAGCTTCGGCGCAGCCTTCGACGGCGATGCGGACCGTAACATGATCCTCGGTTCTCGTTTCTTCGTTAATCCCTCTGATTCGTTGGCTGTTCTCGTGGCAAACGCGGAGGTGGTTCCTTTTTTTCGGAAGGCTGGGGGTCTTCGTTCTGTGGCACGCTCCATGCCTACGAGTTGTGCTGTTGATCGAGTCGCCGCGGAGAAGAAGCTCAGGTGCTTTGAAGTCCCGACAGGATGGAAGTTCTTCGGTAATCTCATGGACAGCAAGGCTGTATTCGGTGATAAAGATTACAACCCGCTAATCTGCGGCGAGGAGAGCTTTGGCATGGGCAGCAATCACATTCGCGAGAAGGACGGTGTGTGGACCTGCTTGTTTTGGCTATCACTGCTTGCAGCGAAAAACGATTCCTGTTCCAATCCAAGCGGGTCTCTTGTTGGTGTTCAGAGAATCGTGGAGCAGCACTGGGCTTTGTACGGTCTCAATTACTACACACGGTATGATTATGAGAATGTCTCCGAGAAGAGTGCTAATCTTGTCATGGAAAATGTCTTACGTAAGTCTCCGGAGGAAATTCCGTGTCTGGATGGCAAGCGTTGCTGTGTCGTAGACAACTTTGAATATTCTGATCCCGTGGATGGGAGTGTAACTAAAAAGCAGGGTGTGAGAGTGGTTTTTGAGGACAATTCTCGTTTTGTGTTACGACTTAGTGGAACTGGCTCCTCAGGTGCTACAATACGACTCTACTTGGAAAAATACATGGGTCCAGATTTTGTAGCCGAGAATTTAAGAAAAGGAACTCTCCCATGTGCCTCGGAGATCTTGCGTGAGATGATACGCATTTCGCTTAACGTTTCCAATATTCCTCAGGCCACTGGTCGCGATGCACCTACCGTTATTACATAAAACTTATGAAGGCCGTGATTCGTGAATACAATGCTTTTTTTAAAATTCGAAAGGATGAAAGAATTTACCTATTCTTACATTCGTACTTTTTCTTCCTTTTTTTTCAAGAGACAAAAACACTTCTCCTTTTATAAATACTCGCTATATTATAACTTTACGATCGAAGTCACTTAGGATGCATCTTATCGTTCGGGAATTTTCCCCCTTTACAATTTTTTTATTTTATTGGAACAGAATATGAGCTTAGAATAAGTATATTGGCAAATTTTCTACTCACTACCATAACGTTTTCTAGAAAGCTCCACAATATAATGCCTAATAGTCAAAAATTCTTTTGAGACATGCCCAAGATTAGTCTAAGGTTAAAATAAATCTTTAATCTTTAGTTATTAAATTGTTACTATTAAATTTCATGCCGTAATCATTTCATCAAGTATTGGTAAATGCATGTCGGATAACTTTTTGAGCAACTGAAACGAGGCACCATCACTTTAACTTTTTTTATTATTCAGTTCTAGATTTCAACTAAGAAGCGAATTGTTCCACATTAAAGACGTTTTTTTTGCGAAAAGTTGAGCCCATTTATCCCATTTCAATCTGTCACTGTCTAATTAATCATTTTGAACGACAATTCTTATGAGCACTGCAGGTACGTTAGTATCCACTTTTCTTTTTCACTTTTTAGAAGCATAGGCAAGGGGGCTAAGGTGTGCTAAATTATCAGGGAACGGTAAGACCAAATTTCATATATATATTATATATAATATAGTATACATGCACACCCCAATTAGTCAGTTGTATCTTTTTTCACGTATTAGGCTCTTTAGCTGTGCATAACTTCGAAATGAAATGCATTATACGTATTCATATTGATTGCTTTTATGTGCAAGTTGAGGCTGCCCATCTTAGTGTTGACTGCTGGTCGGTACCATTTGTTCTTTCACAGTGAGGCAACCTGATTGTTGTGAACTACCCTGCTCGAGCCCATGGCGTCAACCTCCTTCTGTCAAGGATGCCAAGTAGAAGTACCTGGAATTGCTTTGCGCTGAGGTGGCAGCATATCGTGTAGGTTGAATGGAATATCACTGTCATCCGAATCCGCGTAAACCAAATCACCAAGTCGCATTGGAGCCATGTCTTCATGCCGGTCGCAATTTTTTTAAATGTAAAGCTATAAGGGCATATTAGTGGGGAAGACCAGCATTGATGAGGCCTATTTTGATATTATGGAAGTTTCACGTGGTGAAATAGCAATATGTGCTGCCCACAGTTGTACCTCAGGTAGTGATGGGGAGGGCTCACAACTGGATGCACTATGTGATGTGCTGGAGCCAGCGATGAAGCTGGTTGAGTACCGCACAGACAAGATGGCAGCGTGGCTGGCAGAGCGTTGTACTACACTTGAGAATGTGTAGGGTGGGCCTATCCGTGCATTGAAGCGCGGGGGGTGCGACAGGTTTGATGCTGTTGAGGGCAGTAATTGATTTAGCGTGCTTCATAGTTGTGTGGAGGCAGAGAGGTCAGAATACAAGGAGAACGTGCTGCAGCTATGCACTGCAACCCGTGTTGTATGCCGTATTCGGCAACACATTTACGATAAATTACATTAAGGCTGCTCAGCTGGCATTGCACATAACAAACTGCTTGCGAAGTGCATCAGCGCGACGCACAAACCAAATTAGCAAACGTTACTGTTACTGGATTGTGTGTCGTCAGTGTTTTTCAATAAGAGGTTGTCGAAGTTGCGTCGTTTTGGTGGCGAGTTTGGGGTTGCCGTGCGCACAGCGAGCAATGGTGCGAAGAGCTATCGTTAAGTCTGTCTTGTGCCAATCATCTTTCTACATATTAGACTACGGTGAAACTCACCTTTCTCTCTTATGACGTCAGGATACTGAGGACATGGACGGGGGTGTACCCCTGTGGACGGAAGCGACCACGCTAGCGGAGTGAATGTGCTACAGCAAATTTTAATGGTGGCTCAAACACTCATGCATATTATAGAATGCGTGGCTATGCCGATGACGTTATCTCCATCCGATCTTTTTATAATTCACTCATGACGTCTAAGGATTTCACCCCTCCTTTTACTCAAGCTGGAGGATGTTTTGAAGTGGTTGCATGCTTTATTTAGCGAACTGATTCCACGATATGACGAATTCAGACTTGTTCTCCGTCAATGGGGGCAGCTTTAACCTTAAATCAGGAGGTCGTGGTCTTCACAACGCCGGTAACGTCGTCAACCTACGATGGCTCTATCACCAGTTATATGTGCAAGGCCGCTTTCGCACACTTCTGAGAGGATGTTACTGGAATGCCTTAGTTCTCAGGATAGGAATGATAGCAATCCAAAGCCATTGGTGAATTACGTTACCATGCTCACTAAAAATCTTACCAAAGCACTCAAGAATAAACCTAAGGAGTGGCATAGAACCATTCTATGATTACTGTGCAGATCAGTCCATCTGGATGGAGCTCCAGCGACAGCAACTTCTGCTCACGATGATGTAAGTTTGTGAACAACTCTGGTATGAAATTGAAATTGGAAGATAAGAAGAATACTGTGCTATTTTCTTCACAACTTTCTAAGGCATCATGTTCCCCTCTTGCAGTGTCGTTAATAAGGGATGATTTTTTTCGAGAGTCCACACCGTGTTCCTGACGTAGAACAAATTGTCCTCCGTGGTAATACTCATTCTTCGGCTTCCTCAGCTCTGTCTGTCCTCAGCGCGGAGGAGCAGAATACCAGCTGAAGACGATGTGTCTTGAAATAAAAAGTAAACAGCACTGGCAAAAACTAAGTAAAAAAATTGACTATGAGGATAATATGGACGGTGCTATATGTACTGAATAATAAACGAAAGTTTAGCATTTCTTTTTTGCTTATTAGCAGTCGAAACGAATAGGAGCATTAAGAAAAAAACATTAATTTTTATTGTGAATTTACCCTCAAACATAGATTAAATATAAAATAAAGCAACTCTAGCAAAAGAATTCATTTCATAATCCAAATAACTTTTACATCAATTCATAAAGAACGGCAAACACACCATGTCATCCTCTACAACAGAATTAAATATACAATATTTCCAATAAAAAGAAAACACCAAACAAATTGAATCATAAGAGCACGAGTATAAGTAAAGGACGATGGGGAATATGTAAAATTTATTAACAATCATGCACAAGATGCGGAGACAAAAGTTTGCATCATGCAGTGCCAGGTTTAAGTTGGGCACCCAAAGGAAAGCTTGCCAGAAGTCCAACCACGGAGCCTCTCGGATCTCCAGTCCGCTGCTTATTGGAATCGTGTCGGTGCTGGCAACCGCAGCATTGTTGTAGGCCGTCGACAGAGAAGGGGAAGCGAAAGGGGTGAGAGCCTAGCCTTCGCCATTACAGCAAAACTTCTTTCACTCAGATTCAGCAATAGCTCATTTGTCATCTTACTAGCCTTACTAAATTAATAACTCGCTATTTTCGATATGAGTTCACGGCGTCTATAATATTATAATTTTCGATGCATCCCCACGAAGGAACTGCTCGCCGAGCCGGTAAAAAAGGTGCGGCTGCTGCAGACAGAACACCAGGTGCGCTGCACCGTTGGGCGGCCGCTTTTGACCGCCCACACACTTTCCCGTGTTGCGCGTTTGCCCGTGTGCTTTCCTTTGAGGGGATGCTGCCTCCCCTCCCAGTTTATTTGGTTAATAACTCGCTATTTTCGATATGATTTCACGGCGTCTATAATATTATAATTTTCGATGCATCCCCACGAAGGAACTGCTCGCCGAGCCGGT